TCTGTTACGTTGATCGGGTAAGCACTCAATCCGTGTTTGTCTTTCCTGTTGCTGGCCATTGTTGACACAAGCAATCATCCGTTTTCACGCGTACCGTGACAAGACAGCCTCTCATCTGTTAACATGGACCACGCTGTTCGGAGTCTTGGGCACCAACAGTGGGTGGTGACTCAAATGGAGGCGTCTGCTGAAGATACTTCACTGGCACAATATTCAACCTACAACTTTCAGGTCAGAATGTGCACAACGTAGTTCAAGATAAAGAATGCTTGAGAAAGAGAGAGCGATCGACCTCAAAACGTGGGTATGTCGTCCTAACCCTTAGTGTGCTGGGTTTTCGCTCTCATCCTTGTGTATGGTGGGAGCATATATCTTGGACGTGCATGTTGGCCTTTGTCGTTGTGTTATGTTGCTCAGTGAAGATCTACACTACACGTCATTGTATGGCAGTGCGCATTGTGGCAATGGGGCATCCCTGTCCATGCATGGGGGAACCCATATCTAGCACTCTTGCCAGACATCATGCACATGGCGGATCTCGGAATATTGGACCACATTGTCAAGTGCATCCGTAAAGCGTCACCGAGGTCCCTCAAGAAGCTCGACACGTAGGTTCATCTTTGTTCTTTTCGAACCTGAATAGCTGTATCTGTCATTTGCGGTAAGGAGTGTGTATCTTTCTTGATGGTCATCCTATCAGGGTTTCAAAACTCCTCACCAGTACTTTCCCCCTGCAAGGAGGCTGCAGAACTTGCGTGAAGCTACACGCATCAACACGATGCGATTTCCCGATAAGGAGTACTTTTCGAGCACTGCGAATGTCCCAGCATTTGAGCATAGGGCTGTGATGCAGGTTGGACGCACCTTAAATGGCTGGTAGGTGTGGGATGCAGGTAGCACGCACCTTAAATGGCTGTGATGCAGGTAGGGCTGATGTTGCATGGTTGAATATGCATATGTTATTGCATACGTTCAAACCTCATCATGTGAAATGATCATGCAGTACAAAGTGACGTAAACCCTCTCCATTCTTCTTCCCTGCATATCTCAGTCAATGCTGTTGCATACCTATGTTTCAGACCCATGAACTATGCGGTATGCTCCTCTGCCATGATTTTACTTGCTCATATAATCATATGATCCTTGCCATTGCCAATACACCATGAAACCTACACCATAGGTTCTGATTTTTTTGGTGGCCGACATACTAGATGCGAGACAACTGGAGGCGATTCGTACATACATTGACTGGTATACTTGGTGCAACAAAGACCTCCACACGGAGAGCACTTTACAAGAGCTGAAGCGGAAGGCAGCAAGGTATGCTCACTCCACCCTAAACACATATTCTTGGTTTTCTCTTAACCAGAAACCAAGAGAGCTTGCCTTGTGCATGTACGTAGCCTCGCATATTCATCAACCTTTCCTTGTGCCTGCCCATACACTCCAGGCTGGTGAAACTGTTGGTGAAAGCCTTTCCCCAACAAGCATCCGACTGGAACCTCATTAAAACTCACCTCATGTCACATTTTGTTCCCGCCATTCGACGAGCCGGTTACGTGCAAGAGCACAGCACGAATTTTTTTGAGCACTTGCATAGCACACTGTTGAAGCAAATCTACCGTCGCTCGAATAAGAGAAATGTGGACGTGAAAATCATGAAGCACCATGAAAAACGGCTAGGCATGTGGGAAGACGAAGAGTCGGACACTAAACACGAGACCGCCATGGCAACGGTAAGTATATTCGAGCACATGTTGGCCGAGCCAAATTTCAGCCATAGCGTACTTTCAGGCAATGAGTGAGCCCTTTTTCACTGCAGGCAATTGAAAAAGGCGTGCGCGTCATGACCAAGGAATCTTATTTTTTCCCCGTGGACCCTGTGGATGCGACTAAGCACCCCAGCGATTTCGTGAAAGAGTGGAGCGAGCAGCACCCCAAGGCACATGCCAAGTTCAAGCAGGCACTTGCACGGGTGAACTTGTCGCCCACCAAGGTTCGGGTAAGAATTGCCTTCCATGCTCATTCGTGACTGCAAATTCAACTTTGTTGACATTTGTTGCCCTAACCACCAAGGCAATGGCAACTCCCCACCCCCCCACCTCCACCTCCTCCCTCTTCTTCCAATGCCTCACTGCATCGCATCCCTCTTTCCCTCACTCCAGTGCAGGGTTCACCCAAATTTGCAAGGAACTTGGCTGGAGCCACCAAATCCACCATCCCAAATCAACCGGATTTCCCCCTTCCCCATTCACCCTACCCCCATGCACCCCCCTACCTTGCCCTCTCTCCCTATTTCCTTGTTCCCCTCAGATGTGCCACCTGGGGGCAGCTCCAAGGCATGGGAACACCTCTGCAAGACATTGGCACCCAACACTCTGCAATCTGAGTTGCAGAAACAGCAAGGGGCATGATAATGCCCCCTTCTCTCTTTCCCACCCTGCCCCACTTCATCCCTCTCTCCCTCACTCCAGCCCAGGCCCTCCCGGGACACACAGGGGTGCAACTCTAGGCCGGCAGTGGGGCTGTTGAGTCCCCACCTGCACGACCCCCTAGGAACCTGGCTGGAGCACCCTTTTTCCATTCCCAAACCCATTCACCTTTCCCCTTCCCCATTCCCCCTTCTCTAATGCACCCCTCTCTCCTGCCCTCTCTCCCTATTTCCTTGTTCCCCTCAGATGTGCCACCTGGGGGCAGCTCCAAGGCATGGGAACACCTCTGCAAGACAACTTGCACCCAACACTCTGCAATCTGAGTTGCAGAAACAGCAAGGGGCATAATAATGCCCCCTTCTCTCTTTCCCACCCTGCCCCACTTCATCCCTCTCTCCCTCACTCCAGCCCAGGCCCTCCCGGGACACACAGGGGTGCAACTCTAGGCCGGCAGTGGGGCTGTTGAGTCCCCACCTGCACGACCCCCTAGGAACCTGGCTGGAGCACCCTTTTTCCATTCCCAAACCCATCCACCTTTCCCCTTCCCCATTCCCCCTTCTCTAATGCACCCCTCTCTCATGCCCTCTCTCCCTATTTCCTTGTTCCCCTCAGATGTGCCACCTGGGGGCAGCTCCAAGGCATGGGAACACCTCTGCAAGACAACTGGCACCCAACACTCTGCAATCTGAGTTGCATAAACAGCAAGGGGCATAATAATGCCCCCTTCTCTCTTTCCCACCCTGCCCCACTTCATCCCTCTCTCCCTCACTCCAGCCCAGGCCCTCCCGGGACACACAGGGGTGCAACTCTAGGCCGGCAGTGGGGCTGTTGAGTCCCCACCTGCACGACCCCCTAGGAACCTGGCTGGAGCACCCATTTTCCATTCCCAAACCCATTCACCTTTCCCCTTCCCCATTCCCCCTTCTCTAATGCACCCCTCTCTCCTGCCCTCTCTCCCTATTTCCTTGTTCCCCTCAGATGTGCCACCTGGGGGCAGCTCCAAGGCATGGGAACACCTCTGCAAGACAACTTGCACCCAACACTCTGCAATCTGAGTTGCAGAAACAGCAAGGGGCATAATAATGCCCCCTTCTCTCTTTCCCACCCTGCCCCACTTCATCCCTCTCTCCCTCACTCCAGCCTAGGCCCTCCCGGGACACACAGGGGTGCAACTCTAGGCCGGCAGTGGGACTGTTGAGTCCCCACCTGCACGACCCCCTAGGAACCTGGCTGGAGCACCCCTTTTCCATTCCCAAACCCATCCACCTTTCCCCATCCACTCAGATAAGAAGTAATACCCCTCCCCCCTTCCCCCCCTCACAATTTCCCTCCATGACTCACTACATCCCCCTCACCCTCACTCCAGCCAACCCCCTGCAAAGGACCCTCAGGAGTGCTCCTCTGGGCTGGCCCTGGCCTTGTTGAGACCCACCTACACTAGCCACTTGGAAACTGGCTGGAGCACCCCTTCTCCGTTCCCATACCCATCATCCTTCCAACCCTTCCCCATTCGGCCTAACCCCATCCACCACTTTCTCCTGCCCTCCCTATCTCCCATCTTCCCTGAGATGTGGTATGGAGATACCACAGTTTTTTCTAGCTAAACTTGGGTGCGGCCCTAATGACATAAGAGTGTTATCCAAAGCATAACGATGGTTTTCATGCATTGTCGCAGGCGCACACAACAATGGCGATTTTCTCAGCCCAAGGAGAGCACTTTTCGCGCGTTGCACACTTTGTGAAGGCTGCCCCCCATTCGTACTCGAGGCCATGGTTCTCAGACGTGGCCATCATGGGGACAGCACAAGACGGGGGAGATGTTGAATGGTATGGGAAGTTGTTGCTCCTGTTTCACACCAAGGAGAGGGGTTGCAAAAAGGAGCTGGCGTACGTGAGGTACTGGACCAAAACGGGCGAGGATGCGAAAACGGGATGCACTCGACTTGCATGGACGACAACCCTTTCCAAGTATGTTGTGGTCAACGTCGATGCGATTTATCGCGAGGTCCACGTTATCAAGGCGTTTCATAGCGACACCGCTTATTTGCTTAACAAATACCAACTTAGATAGTGTAGTGAAAGCATGCATCTGCGTAGGCATGTTATAAAATAAATATGTTTTATAACACAAGTTACACAAGATTAAACAAGACGTCGGATAGATTGTTGACGTTATGTAACACAAGTTACTTTGGTTTCTGTTAATCAGTTTTACAATTTGTATATATACATGTAATAAAATAACAAGTCTCATAGAGCAAAGCATGATCTACACAACTGTAAACAATCTGTAATTGGACCAAAATTGGTCCGAATTTGCCTCGTCAAACATTAACAAAGCAGGCCTAAAATGGGAGCATCCCTGGCCTGAATTTGCCAGGCCTAACCCTCGGTCAGAATCTGACGCGGCTCGATGTGCAGGGCGTCAGACTCAATGTGACCAAATTTTGACGCGCGACCAAGAGCAGACTGAGCTTCGACGAAAACAGGGTTTCCTCGCGCAAACCAAACAACCCAACCTCGAAAGTGTTCCCAACCCCCCCAGATTGGAAACGCGGGTTTTTTGTGATGCTATTCTCCATCACTCTCCCAATTTCTCCCCTTCTCACTCTCTTTCCCCCTTCACTTACTCTCTTTCCCCCCTTTTCACTCTCTTTCCTCTTTTGCTCACCCCAGTTCCACCCTTCTCCCTCTCTTTCCCCTTGTTCAACTTTTGCTCACCCCAGTTCCCCCCTTCTCCCTCTCTTTCCCCTTGTTCCCCTTTTGTTCACCCCAGTTCCCCCCTTCTCCCTCTCTTTCCCCTTGTTCTCCTTTTGCTCACCCCAGTTCCCTCCTTCTCCCTCTCTTTACCCTTGTTCCCCTTTTGCTCACCCCAGTTCCCCTCTTCTCCCTCTCTTTCCCCTTGTTCTCCTTTTTCTCACCCCAGTTTCCCCCTTCTCCCTCTCTTTACCCTTGTTCTCACCTATCTTCCCATCTGCCGTACTCACTTTCCCCGTTGTGCACCCCTTTTTCCCCACTCGCTCTCTCTCCCACTCACTCACTTTCCCATTTCACTCACACCCTTTCCCCCGTTCTAACCCCTCTTGTTGTCCTGCTAACATTCCCCTTTGCCCATCCCTTAGCGTTGTCGCTTCTCATGCCCTTCTGTACGCTTCACCCGCCACTACCTCCGTCATTTCCCCCCAGCATGCAGTGCAGCAGACAGGAGTGGGAATGATTGATGTTAGGGCGGATTCCTGACTTTGGGTCATCCGCTCTTTGAGTCATTCGAAATTGTTGGATCCAATAGAAAAGCCTCAATCTTGATATTCGAGTTTTCCGATTGGATCCCACATTTTGGGATGACTCAAAAAGCGGATGACCCGAAGTCAGGAATCCTCCCTTATTGTCTCTTAGTTTTGTGCCAATAATAAATTCGTTTGTCGTATAGAATTTGAATCAAGAATGTCCTTCTGTAATACAGTGTTTCTTTTTATGGAAACACAAACAGAAGCTCATTAAAGCAGCAGTATACTTTTGGCAGGGCCAGTGCCAAATTTTTATAAATGGTACATGGTGGTTACCGAATTACAAGCCCACCCAACCTCTCTCTCGAAAAAAAACGAGTTGCCCCCAACTCCCTCCAGCTCACTCGAATGTCAGAAGTTTATAGATGGCAAAAGTATACTCATTCGTTCCCCCCCGCAACAGCTCACTCCAGTAGCGTTCTTAGCGTGCACTACTAGAATAATCTGACCTACACCATTGATGTGCGTCTTTTAGGCTTATGTCATACACCGAAGATTGCCAGAGCCAGCGTCGCCGAATACGCATTCATTTGTTTGGTCGCCACGGCGTCGCCACTTTCAGTAGATATCTCGTTGCCTCCCCACGCAGCCTAGAGTCGACCTCCGTTGCATAATCCGCTCGCCGCAAATCGCCTCCGCATCGAGCCAACAGTAGCGGCCTCGTCCCATCGCAACTTTCGACCTCGTAGGCTCGCCTCAACGCCCGTCGCGGCGTCGCCGCGCCGCAAATCCGCTCCCGGCGTCGTCTCGCCGCAAATCCCCGCTCACGGCGTCGCCTCGCCGCAAATCCGGTCGCGGCGTCGCCTCGCCGCGAATCCGGCCGCGGTGTCGAATCGCTGCAAATCTGGTCGCGGCGTCGCCTCGCCGTATATCCCATAGCGGCGTCGCCTCACCGCAAATCCGCTCGCGGAGTCGCCTTCCTTCCCGCGTCCCGTTCTCCCCTTCCCGCATCCCGTTCTCCCCTTCCCGCCTCCTGTTCTCCCCTTTCCGCATCCCGTTCTCCCCTTTCCGCATCCCGTTCTCCCCTTTCTGCATCCCGTTCTCCCCTTTCCGCATCCCGTTCTACCCTTTCCGCATCCCGTTCTCCCCTTTCCGCATCCCGTTCTCCCCTTTCCGCATCCCGTTCTCCCCTTTCCGCATCCCGTTCTCCCCTTTCCGCATCCCGTTCTCCCCTTCCCGCCTCCCGTTCTCCCCTTTCCGCATCCCGTTCTACCCTTTTCGCATCCCGTTCTCCCCTTACCGCATCCCGTTCTCCCCTTTCCGCATCCCGTTCTCCCCTTTCCGCATCCCGTTCTCCCCTTTCCGCATCCCGTTCATCCCGTTTTCCCCTTTCCGCATCCCGTTCTCCCCTTTCCACATCCCGTTCTCCCCTTTCCGCATCCCGTTCTCCCCTTTCCGCATCCCGTTCTCCCCTTCCCGCCTCTCGCTCTCCCCTTTCCGCATCCCGTTCTCCCCTTTCCGCATCCCGTTCTCCCCTTTCCGCATCTCGTTCTCCCCTTCCCACCTCCCGTTCTCCCCTTTCCGCATGCCCATCTCCCATTCCCGCCTTCCCATTCCCCTTCCCACCTCCCTATATCCAATTCCCGCCTCCCCATCACTGTTTCTTCTCTCCCCATTTTCCCTTCCTGCCTTCCCATTCCCCTTCCCGCCTCCCCATTCCCCTTCCCGCCTCCCCATCTCCCCTTCCCGCCTCCCCATCTCCCCTTCCCGCCTCCCCACTCCCATTCCCGCCTCCCCATCTCCCATTCCCGCCTCCCCATCTCCACTCCCTCCTCCCTTCTCTCCCTTCCCACCCTTCTCTCCCTTCCCTCCCTTCCCTCCCTTCCCTTCCTTCCCTCCCTTCCCTCCCTTCCCTCCCTTCCCTCCCTTCCCTCCCTTCTCTCCCTTCCCTCCCTTCTCTCCCTTCCCTCCCTTCTCTCCCTTCCCTCCCTTTCTCCCTTCCCTCCCTTCTCTCCCTTCCCTCCCTTCTCTCCCTCCCCTCCCTTCTCTCCCTCCCCTCCCTTCTCTCCCTCCCCTCCCTTCTCTCCCTCCCCTCCCTTCCCTCCCTTCTCTCCCTTCCCTCCCTTCTCTCCCTCCCCTCCCTTCTCTCCCTCCCCTCCCTTCTCTCCCTCCCCTCCCTTCTCTCCCTTCCCTCCCTTCTCTCCCTTCCCTCCCTTCTCTCCCTTCCCTCCCTTCTCTCCCTTCCCTCCCTTCCCTCCCTTCCCTCCCTTCCCTCTCTTCCCTCCCTTCCCTCCCTTCTCTCCCTTCCCTCCCTTCTCTCCCTCCCCTCCCTTCTCTCCCTCCCCTCCCTTCTCTCCCTTCCCTCCCTTCTCTCCCTTCCCTCCCTTCTCTCCCTTCCCTCTCTTCTCTCCCTTCCCTCCCTTCTCTCCCTTCCCTCCCTTCTCTCCCTCCCCTCCCTTCTCTCCCTTCCCTCCCTTCTCTCCCTTCCCTCCCTTCTCTCTCTTCCCTCCCTTCTCTCCCTTCCCTCCCTTCTCTCCCTCCCCTCCCTTCTCTCCCTCCCCTCCCTTCTCTCCCTCCCCTCCTTTCTCTCCCTCCCATCCCTTCTCTCCCTTCCCTCCCTTCTCTCCCTTCCCTCCCTTCTCTCCCTCCCCTCCCTTCTCTCCCTTCCCTACCTTCTCTCCCTCCCCATCATCTCGCCTCACGCCATCATCTCATGTCAAATCAGCTAGAGAAAGGTCAATAGATCCGTGCAGTATTCATCTTAGCAAGAACATATTTCTTTCTCCCTGTATGTGATGTGACACCTTCACTGTCCATGCATCTTGGATGATTAATCTGCACTGCTTAAATCGTGGTAGCACATAGCAGGCTTTGTGACAAATATCTCTAGCAGTAACATACTACTCATACAATGCACACGAGTCTATACAAAGGTTGTGAGCACCATCCACTACTAGCTGCGCCTCTGCTTGCATCTGCTGCCCTGTTTCAACACTACCAATTAGCAGGCAGGGAGTGGAGATGTGAAGGGCCCCTCCGGTGGATTGCCTCGTCAGCGAGCGATGATTGGCCGTTGATGAGAGCCACTGAGAGGCCGACAGCTAGCGCCATGGTGTCAAACACGTGTTTCACCTGCTGGAGTAGGCAGAATGGCACGGTTGGGGGCGAGGAGGGGGAGAGAGGAAGAGCGGGATTGTGTGTTGGGCAAAAAGACAAGTTGATGGTTAAACATCAGCTGGGTAAGTGAGTCGAGGTAGGTGAGAGATGGTCTCGAGTGGGCAACACCACCACCGCTCTGACTCACCGCAGCACACGCCCTGCCAGTGCCTGCACTACTGGCAGCGCATACGCTAGTGTCTTGACAGGTGTGTTGGAAGGGAGATGAAAGGGAGAAGAGGGGGGATGGGATGGAAGGGTCGGGAAAAGCGAAGGTGAAGAGGGCAGATGATGAGGATCATAAGGGTGTTGGGAAGGAAGAGACATGAGATGGCGTGTAAGGCAGGAGAGATCGGAAGGAAGGGTGGGGAGGAGTGACCTCAAGTCAGGTAGGAACGATGTGCTAGCAGGGGGGAAAGGAGGGATGCAGTGGGGAAAAGGAGGGGAAGCAGCAGGGGAAAGCAGGGGAAGCACAGGGGGGACAGGAGGGGAAGCAAGGGGCGGAAAGGAGGAACAGCAGGGAAGAAAAGGAGGGGATGCAGGGGGGGGAAGGAGGGGATACAGTGGGGGGTTTGGAGGGAAGGGAGGGGAAGCAGGGGTGTAATGGAGGGAAAGCAGGGGGGGAAAGGAGGGGAAGCAGGGGCAGAAAGGACGGGATGCAGGGGGTGAAAGGAGGGGATACAGGGGGGGGGTAGGAGGGAAAGGAGGGGAAGCAGCGGCGGAAAGGAGGGGATGCAGGGGGGGACAGGAGGGTATACAGGGGAGGAAAGAAGGCGAAGCAGTGGGGGAAAGGAGGGGAAGCAGTGGGGGAAAGAAGGGGAAGCACGGGGGGGAAAGGAGGGGAAGCAAGGTGGGGAAAGGAGGGGAAGCAGAGGCAGAAAGGAGGAACAGCAGGGGGGAAAAGGAGGGGATACAGTGGGGGGTTTGGAGGGAAAGGAGGGGAAGCAAGGGCGGAATGGAGGGAAAGTAGGGGGGGAAAGTAGGGGGGGAAAGGAGGGGATACAGGGGGAGGGGGGGGGGAGGAGGGGGGGTGGGAGGTAGGAGGGAAGGGAGGAGAAACAGGGGGGGGGAAGGAGGGGAAGCACGGGCAATGTCCCGATTTTAAATGCAATGATCGCATTGCGGCAATCCTGCCGAATGTAACTCGCCGTGGTTCTTACGAAATAGGTTACGACGGCGCGCTGCATGCACGGCGGGCTCGGCGAATGCCACGCGGCGGCAGTCCGAATGCAAATCGGCGGGGCTACTAAAAGGGAGATGGAGGGCTCAATTGATGGACGTTTTCAAGGCTTAGCCTACATGTGTAGTTACTCACACCACACGCGACTAGGTGAAAAATCGCGATGTTGGTATAGCCAGCCCAACTTGGTTAGCTTGTTAAGAACTAAGGCAAGAATGATGAGATTAGGTCAACGTTGGGGTACAAGGCTAGAGTGTCGAGAAAGTTTCAGTACCCCCTAAGGCTAGCCCCAATATAGCCTAGATAATGATATGCATATGTTTTGACACACCCCCATAGGCGAAATGGGGGATAGCTAGAACAAGCAACGGTCACAAGACCAGTCAAGAGAAGAAACAAAACACAGCTCATGGTGGATTACAACGTTACCACACACACTGAGCACAAGCAAACGGCCACAAGGCCAGTCCACATTCAGAGGTATATAAGCAACAAAAACAGCACACTGATCTCTAGCTAGCAAGAGCAAGCATGCAGGTATATATATATAAATCACAGTACAAGCAGAGACTACAGCAAGTGTGGAAACGTAGGCACAAGGCCCAACAAAGTACAAAAGCGCTGATGGTCACCAGACGGAAGTGCCTTGGTGAATATATCAGCAGTGTTGGCCCGAGTGGCCACGTGAGCAAGGCGAAGCTGACCCCGCTGCTGCAACTCTCGAGCCAGGAAGTAACGCAGAGCGATGTGCTTCGTTCTGTGCTCCAGTCTGTGCTCCTAACACAAGGCAATGGCAGCCTTGTTGTCTACGTACAGAACTGGAGGAGAACGAGGCCGCTCTCCCAGGTCGGTCAGCAGGTAGGTGAGCCAGCGTAACTCTTGTGCAGCCATGGCTGTGGCGTAGATCCCAGCCTCACAACTGGAGCTGAGAACAGAAGACGAGCGTGTAGACCGCCAAGAAACAGAGCCGGAGCCAAGGCTGAACGTGTAACCGTGTGACGACCGCTGTGTAGCCTGGTCGTCAACCCAAGAAGCGTCTAAGTGCCCAGTGAGGACAACTGGACTCCGCCCTCCAAGCACGAGCCCCATGCCTGATGTACTGAACAAGAAGCGCAATACCCTCTTAGCAGCATCCATGTGCACCTTTCGGTGCCGACCAGGAGCCATGTAGCGAGCCAGAAGGCCAAGAGCGTACGTAAGGTCAGGACGAGTGCAGGTCATCAGATACATGAGGCAGCCCACTAGCTCTGGGTAAGGACCACTCGGCTCTACGGACTCGTTTGAAGGTGGAGCTGAGAGCAAGTGTCCTGTAGCCAGAGGAGTGTGCTGTGCTGAGGACCAAGTGAAGCCGAAGTGCTGAAGGACCTGCTGCACCATGTGTGATTGAGTCAGTGTGATGGTGCGGCGTGCTCTGTCTCGGGTGATCTGCAAGCCAAGGTAGCTGCGCAGCTCACCCAGGTCTGTGCACGTGTGTCTCTTCTGCAACTCCGACTTCACCAGGAGTAGAGCCTCAGTGATAGTAGTGGCAAAGACAAAGTCCTCGACGTACACGAGGATGTAGAACGGCGGCAGCGAAGTGTCGGTGCGTAGAAACAGCGACGGGTCAGCAGTCGAAGGAGCAAACCCAAGAGCTGCAAGTGTCGTCATCAGTGTGTCGTGCCACTCACGTGGTGCTTGGAGAAGACCGTAGACCGGCCGCCGGAGGCTCCACTGGGTACCAGGAGGGAACGACCCAGTGAAGCCGGGTGGGCGGCGCAGCCAGATCTTCTCGTGCGGGTTGCCCTGTAAGAAAGCTGTGCTGAAGTCAAGCTAGTCACGCTGAGCGGCAACGTGCAGCAGCACCCAAAGAGTGGTCATCTTCGGGGTGGGGGAGAAAGTCTGGAAGAATTCAACTCCCTCTCGCTGACTGAAACCACGAGCAACGTAACGAGCCTTGAAGACAGGCGGAGAACTTGGCGGCCGCTTTACCCTGAAAATCCACATACCACCGACGATGTTCGCCCCAGGAGGGGGAACCTCGACGACGTACGTGCCTGTGGACTTCCAGGATGCCTTCTCTGCGTCCATGGCTGTCTGCCACTGAGAGGAGTACTCACACGCGATCGCCTGAGCGAAAGAGCGCATGGTCGGGATGTCTGGTGCATCCGGGTCTCCCTCAGGGGCAAGCAGCATGGCCACGAGATGAGGCGCAGCGGCGGCAAGACACTCAAGGTCCTCTTGCTTGTCCTTAAGGACGTCCGTGCCAAGAGCACACTCACCCCCGACGGACGGAGGACAGACAGACTCAGACTCAGCAACAAGACTAGCAGCGTAGTTTAGACGACAGGTAGTGTGAAAGTTTAGAAAAGAGAAGAGAGCTGCACTAGCAAGAATGGGGATACAAATAGCGAACCCTTGAAGGGTTGTACTCGCTATGGAGCACCCCACTACAGGCTAGAGCATAATATTCTGACACACCCCCATAGCCAAAGTGGGGTGTAATCAGCAGAGCAAGCAAAGCAGTACAAGCTCAGGGTGGATCACAATGTCACCACGCATTCTGAGCACAAGTTCAAGAAGCAATAGTTTAAAGTTAACAATTATGAGCAAAGCTAGAGGCTATCGCAGAGGGCAAGTGAGGAGGAGGAGGCGAGAGTGAGAGGAGAGGAGATAGGAGGCGACGGCTGAAGCTGCAGACACACGGGCAACAGGAGGCACACTGGCACAGTGGCTACTGGAGCAACTCTCCGGACTACTGGAGTAACTGGCCCCGCGGCTAAAGTAGCGACAGACGAGCAACGGACCCACGGGCGACTGGCACAGGTGGCTAGGACTGGGCTACCGGAGCAACTCCCCGGACTACAGGTGCTGCTGGCGACACGACGGCAACCTCCGTTCAGCTTCCCAAACAGTCTCACCCCCCCTGACACACACCCCCTACTGCACCCCTAGGGTCACTCACACCCCACCCCCTAGCACCATTCCGTCGACTCCCACACACCCACCCCCCTCAGCGGTAGCTGCAGCAGTGGGAGACAGAGGAGGAGGAGGAGCAGGGGAGACTACACACCCGCCACCCCCCAGGTCGCAGCCCCCTCAGGTCGCCTCGACAGGCGACGGGAAAAAAGGGGGGGGGGGGGGGGGGGGTGCACGTGCCGTAGGTAGGGTCGCCCGAGCCGCACGCAGGCGGCCCGAGCCGCGCACGGGCCTGGCGCCGTTCATACGGGTCGCGCGCGGGCCTGGCGCAGCCCGTACGGGTGGTGGGCGGGCCTGGCGCAGCCCGTACGGGCCGCGGACAGGTCGGGCGCGGTCCGTACGTGCCGGGCGCAGGCCACGACGGGCGACGGGGGGCGACGCGGAGGTCCCCGTCGTCCGTCGCAGCGCCTCCCAGGAGCGGCGCGCGGCGTGACGGGGCAGTAACCCGCCGC